CTTAAGACAGATGAGAAAGTTCAAAGAATGGAACAACAATTATTTAAGACAGATGAGAAAGTTCAAAGAATGGAACAACAATTACTTAAGACAGATGAAAAAGTGGTTAGTATTCAACAAACGATGTCAAAATATGAAGAAAGAATGTTAAACTTAGAGAAGAAAGATGAACAAAAGGAGGGAAAAATAAAAGAAATAGAGAATAGACTGGGAGAGGTTGAACAAGAAACAAGTGGCTTTATTGGATGGGAAATGGACAGAGCAGAATTTTACTTAAGATTTCAAAATGTGGAGGAAAAGAAAGGAGAAAATTTGGCGGACATTATGATTGGATTGTTGGCTGAGGCATTAGGCATCACTAAAGAGAAGATGATGGATGGGATTGATGAAATTTATCGAGTTTACACTAGATATGCCATGCATAATAAACTGCCAAGAGATTTATATAATATAAGATTTACTAAGAAATCGATTAAAGCACAAATACTCCAGATAGCTAGAGAAAAAGTTTGAAATACAAGGAGAAAGATGTGGCTGTTTTGAAACAAATACCAAGAAAGATTAGGGAGCTGAGAAGAGAATACCAATTTTTGACAAAAATCCTGATTCAAAAAGGAATTAACTACAGATGTCTGATTCCAGAAGGGCTAACTCTTACATGGCAGCTCCAAAGATATAGGTTGAATACAATTGATAAAGCAAGAGCTTTTTACGATGATTTTCTTAAAGAAAGAAAAAGAAGTAGTGATGGAAGTTGAAAAACAAGATACAGTCGTCCCAATTAAGTTCACAGATGAAGAACTGGCAATGCTTGAATGCTTGAATAAAGCCTTTGATTGTGTGGATCACAACAAATTATGGCAAGTTCTTAAAAAGATGGGAGTACCAGACCATCTTATGGGAGTACCAAACTATCTTATTGAGAAACCTATATGCAGATCAAGAAGCAAGGAACCACTGATTGGTTCAAAATTGAGAAAGGAGTTTGACAAGGCTGTATGCTGTCACCCTGCCTATTTAACTTATATGCAGAGCACATCATGACAAAGGCGGGGCTAGATGAATCAAAAGTTGGAATTAAGATTGCCGGGAGAAATATCAACCTCAGATATGCAGATGATACCACTCTAATGGCAGAAAACGAAGAGGAACTAAAGAGCCTCTTGATGCGGGTGAAGAAGGAGAGTGCAAAAGTTGGCTTGAAACTCAACATTAAGAAAACTAAGATCATGGCATCCAGCCCTCTCAATTCCTTGCAAATAGATGGGGAAGAAACGGAGGTAGAGACAGATTGTATTTTCCTGGGCTCCAAGTTCACTGCAGATGGGGACTGCAGCCAAGAAATTAAAAGACCCTTGCTCCTGGGGAGGAAAGTTATGGCAAATCTAGACAGCATTGTAAAAAGCAGAGACATCACCCTGCCAACAAAAGTGCGTATAGTCAAGGCTATGGTTCTCCCAGTTGCAATGTATGGCTGTGAAAGTTGGACCATAAGAAAGGCTGAGCACCAAAGAATTGAGGCCTTTGAATTATGGTGCTGGAGAAGACTCCTGCGAGTCCCTTGGACTGCAAAGCGATCAAACCGGTCAGTCCTAGAGATCAACCCTGATTTCTCTTTAGAAGGCCAGATCCTGAAGATGAAACTCAAATACTTTGGCCACCTAATGAGGAGGAAGGACTCACTGGAGAAGAACCTGATGCTAGGAACAATTGAGCGCAAAAGAAGGGGACGACAGAGAATGAGGTGGCTGGATGGAGTCACTGAAGCAGTGGGCGTAAGCTTGAGTGGACTCCGGGGAATGGTAGAGGACAGGAAGGCCTGGATGAACGTTGTCCATGGGGTTGCGATGGGTCAAACACACCTTCGCAACTAACAACAAAAATTTTGATATGGGATCTGTTTTATTAAAGATCAGGAAATAGAGCTAGAAACTAAAAACTGGGAAATGGTTATTATATATATTGTCATATTATGGAAGTTATTATAATTACTATGTACAAGTAAATATTAGAAATTAAGATTATTGTTTATGTTTAAAAAGTAAAAAATAGATGATGGACAGAAGGCTTACTAAGATAAACAAATACTACTATTATGTGATCACCATTGTTGTTTTTCCTCCTCCTCCTCCTCCTCTTCCTGTTATTATTATTATTTCTTAAAATGAACTGTACCCAGACAATACACTATTCATGTAGATACTGATGTTTAATAAAAAAAAAAAACTTGGAAAAAAGAAGACAGGAATAAATTGGTACAGAGGACATCAGCCAAACTGAAAAAAGTTGTTGGATAAGGATAAAATGATAGAAAATTATCTATTGAAATAGAAAATAAAAATGAGATAAAAATGAAGTGGTTAAGACTGATTAAAACCAGTTGCAATGGTCTAAATATGGTACTTGAGTATGAGGTAGACAAGTAAGGATAGAAAGAAGATGAAAAAGTCCAAAGGTCTTGTGAAGTACTGTATGGTAAAGCTAAGGTATAGCACTAAGCTCTACAAAATCTTAACTCTAGTAGAATAAATGAGAGGGCGTGCATAGAAAGAGTATAACAAATAGAAAATGTGAGGTAAATTAAAAGGCACTTCCTGCTCAGTTAATCAGCAATGTTTTATTTTTGTAATGCACATTGGGAGTTGTTCTCAGGTTCTGTCTGGTTTGTCCCGTGAACCTATTACGGTAAACTTAGCAATTACTGTATGCCTGAATTGTGAATATCCCAACATTAGCAGTCAAAAGTTTAGCAAACATAAAATGGCATGGGACAATTAAGGGAGATAATTATAATGCTCATAATTAAATAAGTGGCAAAAGACACTCATTGTTCTATATGCAGTGTAATAAACAAAACAAATATGCACCAGTTTTCCCTGGCCACCTGAAACGGTGCTTTTCAACGAGTGCGGTGCTGCCGCCGCTTCAGCTAATCTCCCCTCCCCACTATTCCCATGTACCACCTGCCAGCTGCTGAAATACCAACAGTGATACGTGTACCATGGGTTCAAAAGCACTATAAAAAATAGTGTAAAAGAGGGGATGAGGGGATGACCACACAGGCCTGTGGGAGCATCAGCTGGAGCTGCGGTGTTGCCAGGGCTCTGCTGAGCGCCCAGGATCGGTGCACGCGGCTCCAGCTGATTGGCACTTCCGGGAGCACGGCACAGCCTTGGAGAAGAGTCAGTTGGAGCTGCACTGGAAGAGAAAATAAGTGGGTGGGGGGAGAGGAGAGGATATAAGAGGAGGTTTTGGTGGGAAAGGGAGAGAAAAAAAACGACGGGGAAAGAGAAGGGGATGGTGAGAGACGGAGGAGAGGTTTCTTTGAGGCAAGCAGAGGGAGAAGGGGATATAACAGCGCAAAGATTAATGTCAGAGAAACCGGCACAAGTTTCCCATTACAAATGTGATAAGTGGGTGTACATAGTCCTCAACCTACAACCACAATTGAGCCCAAAATGTATGTTGCTGAGAAATTTGTTAAATGAGTTTTGTCCCATTTTACAACTTTTCTTGCCACATTTATTAAGTAAATCACTGCAGTTCTTAAATTAGTAACACGGTTGTAAAGTGAATCTGGTTTCCCCATTGACTTTTGTCAGGTTACAAAATGGATCACATAACCCTGAAACATTGTGACCATCTTAAATATGAATTAGTTGCCAAGCATCCGAATGAAAATCACGTGACCCTGGGGGGTGCTGCAACAGTCATAAGTGTGAAAAATGGTTATAAATCACCATTTTCAGTGCCATTGTAACTTTGAAATCACTAAGCGAACTGTTATAAGTCAAGGACTACCTGTACTTTATCACTTTTTTCCTTTTTCTTTGGTCATCAAGTTTTTGATACCTTTCTACGCAACTGGTGGTATTCGAATATTGCCATATCCTACAAGTGGTACAATCTGTGAAAAGGGTTGAAAAGCACTGACCTAAAACAAGCTCCTTGACCTATGTGTTGACTAATTTTAACTGTGTCAAAGGGTTTTTGTGGTTCAGATGGTCTGTACCTATGACATACCCCAACAGTCACGAACAAATCTGTGTTGGTGATTCTGGCAATACACAAATGAAACTGTATGAAAAATCACTATATTTGGAAGAGAGAGGTTATCTGGGAAACATCTGGTATCACTAATCCCTTTCTCATTGGTCAGGGAAACAGCGCAGATAGTTGCTGAGGAATTGTATTCTGCACTGTGGAGTTTTGATAATTAATCCAGCAAGAGAGGTTCATTTTTATTGTTGTTCTTTTTCTTGGACTAGGTAGGCAAAAATAAGTCAGCTGACCAGGGTGGATAAAAATAGATTTAAAAAAAAATTAAAAATCAATTTTTAAAAAAATCAAATTTATTTTAATAAAATGCTTCTGGAGTAAAAATCTATCTAAAGATAGTTTTCTATTTAAGATACATTAATAATTTAGTTTATTCAGCATGAAATGGAGCTGTTATGTAGCATGAGGCTGTATATTCTGCAATATTTACATTTTTGGTAAACTCGTTCAATTAATCCAAGCTCTGCAAGCTAAATAGGAAACCTTCATTTTGTTTGAAAATAATATTAAAGATTCTACCAGCAAGAATGAATCCTTACATTTAAACAGCACCTGTCATTTCAGATCCATCATGGCAGCGCCTGTTAGCGGGCATCCACTCACCTGCTACCCGCCATGTCCCTCACCTTGTGTCACTGCCGCATCATCATCCATCCCATTAAAGTGAATGGGACTGTCAATGAGTCAACAGTAGGTCAGAGGAGGAGCTGCTGCAGGACCGAGATGACAGTTGCTCTTTTAAAATCATGATTTAAATCCACCCTGCAGCTGACAGTCTTGATTCTCAACATGTCCAACAGTTTAACTCTATGCAAGACCATAGAATCAGGTTCAGGCTATATCTAAGCCCTAGGAAATTGCGCAGCCCACATTTTAAATACAGAATTATATCCTTGTTATTTCTCAATTAACTAAATATCACCACCAATCAATCAGAATAATGCTGTTTTAAGATTTATTGAGAAATTCTGAAACAATGAACAGGCTTTTCTGATAGGACTTGAAATGGAGAACTGATTTATAACTTAACACATTAACAAACTTTGGCTCAGCTTTTTTTGAATCACAGTAAAAGACAAATATAAAGATACAATGAAGGAATACTGTATCAAATATTAGATTAGGGTAACAAAAACAATGCATAATAGTTTGAACAATGCAATACTTTGATTGTACACTAGTTTTGATTTCAATTTAAGAAACTTTGCAACTCTTCTCTGCTTTGTCAAGTTTTAGATGGTATTGTTTTAATATTATTATCTAGAGATGCAACTTCACTTGATACACAGATAAGAATACCAACTGAAGCAATTGTTGTGGAAAATACTGAGCACTCTAAAAATAGTTAATTGTTAAAATGTTTATTATAAAAATACAGACTTTTCTGGCATATCCAACTCATTACTAAAAGAGAAGACAGCACATATGGATAGTTTTAAGTAACCAAATTTCCCAATGTTGTAAAACATCATTAAAATGAATCATGAAAGTTTGATTTGCCCCTTTTATGTAATATAGCATAGCATAGATGTAGCATAGACTAGACCTTGAGGATGCAAATGGCCAAAATACAAGCTGTTGAGAAGTAATACGTAGGCTTGCGTTAGTAAATGCTTTGGGGTAACAGTGCTGACTGTGGCTTAAGCAGCATTAATTCTTATCCTCATCACTGAATAAGGGTGCCCTCATATGCCATTAAGTCAGAAATTCTCATATTCACGATGCCTCTTACAATGAGATATGAATTCATGTGACACTCCTATGAATAAATTAATGGTTTTGTTTGGCTTAGGAACGGTCAACAAAATATATGCTTACTTTTAAGAATCAAAATTTAATTTATAACAAGTATCTTAAAACAATTTTTACAAAATAAATTCTTTTAATTGGAAATAAGGAATAAAACAATAAAACTTAACATGTTTTTTTTAATAGGAAAGAAGAGTTTGGGTGTTTGGCAAAACTCCTGGAATTTATTTTTAAGATGGAGTCTCATTTCTTATTTGGCATTTCATTTGGATTGATACACAATGTTTATAGTAGCAATTATACAACTTTGTTGCTGGCTTGTCAAGGCAGAGCAGGAATATGGACTGCCACCAATCCAGGTTGCATCCAAAGCTGGAGCCATCTTAGAATTCACTCTTGCTTTCCTTAATAAGCTGGCTGCCAATTTGCCCAAACACAGGAGAAGCTAGTTAATGTGATCCACTTTTATAAAGTATATAAGGCTGTGGTGCAGTTGGGAATGAATTTTGATAGCAATCCAGCTTTGTGTGAACAAATCACTAGATGGTGGTAATTAACAAGCATTAATTATACATATGTTTATAGTCTGAAAGAACTGCATATTTTTCAGTTGTAAAAGAAGTCACTTAACCAAGCACGTGATCTAATTTGACTTACTTCATTTAATTGCCTTACAAACATATTAAACACAATTCAGTAACTTAAGACTCAAGACAAACAATGCTGTATGTTGAGATCCTATTATTTTGAACAAAGATTTGAAACAAAAAATTGTTTGGACAAGAGGACATGGAGTTAATAATTACTCCAAGTCTAATTTCAAGAGAGGTAAAATGGTTACCATGTTCCCATAAAAAATCTGTAGCCTAGATTACCTGTCTGCAAAAGAGATCAACCTTAACAATTTATTGAAATGTCTGAAGTCTATAAGCAGATGTTGTAAATGCAACTATGGCTTTTGGAAAATATGGTATTTTTAACATGATATTTACTCATCAATATAAATCATGGCAACTATTATAGTGTCCTCTTTTAAAGCACAAAGTTTGTAGATTTGCAACCAATAAAAACAGTGTTGCCCATTTTACTTATTGTCCATGTTAGAAGTAGGAAATGAATAGTCAATCTAAAGCTTTCCAAGATATTATCTGAATATTGAACTGTGTTCTTCATTGTAGGGCTCCTAAATGCAGATTGAAATTATAAGGGGACATGGCTGAACAGGTAGGATACAGATTCACCATTGTGTGTTCTTCTGATTGCCTCAGCCAGAATCATAGAAATATCAATAACCTAGAAGAAAAGGCAACAGGTTATTATTATCCACACATAAGAGTTGATTCCTACCTGAATGCTACATAAAAAAAAAAAACAATAAATAGCCACATGTGACAAAGAAACAAAGCCAAAGAATCCTAAGTGTGGAAAAGGTAACCTATTTTTGTGCAAAATGTTGAGCAAGTTTTATATATGTGCATAAATCATTCGGCACTGATCAGCATCCTTGCAGTGGTACACATGTCCTAGTCCTGCCTGATCACTCAAGAATCCCATATAATCAATTAGTAATATCAATAGCACTTATACCGCTTTATAGTGCTTTTACAGCCCTCTCTAAGTGGTTTACAGAGTTAGCATATTGCCCCCAACAATCTGAGTTCTCATTTTACCGACCTCAGAAGGATGGAAGGTTGAGTCAACCTTGAGCTGGTGAGAATCAAACTGCTGAACAGCAGTCGGCAGTCAGCAGAATTAGCCTGCAGTACTGCAGTCTAACTACTTCGCCACCACGGCTCTTAATTACAGTATTCTTTTCTACCCTTTCAAGGGTTGGGAGTAGAACATACTGTTTTTCAGTGGTTCTCGTTCTTCCGAATCAGTTTCCAGTTAAAATTGCTAGCTGGGAACAGATACAGCATAATAACCCTTGCTTTGTGTGCTCCTGCACGGCTTTGCATTCTCTCCATTTTTATTCAATATTTACATAAGGCTGCTGGGCAAAGTAATCTGCATACAGATTATATCAGTTTAATATACCAGCTTTACACCTTAATCCTTGATTAAACATGCAATGCTCTGGAGACTGTGAGGGGCTGGATGGGAAGGTAGTCTTAGCAAGACTGAGTGGCTTGAAGGACCTATTAGTTGTAGTGATTTATCATCTTTAGTTCTTGAAATGATGGCACTTCTCTGGGTAGAATTTGCTTGTAATTTGAAGCTCCCAGGACTCCTGTGCAACAAGGAGATGAAAGATTTTCTAAGTGGGCATTCATATAAAATCGTGTGTGTCAATTGTGTCCCTTCCTGGAGCAGGATCAGTGCCTCCTGGATAGGCACATTTGGTCACCTCTCATCTGGATTACTGCAATTTTCGCTACATAGGGGTACCCTTGAAGATCATTCAGAAGCTACAACTGATCCAAAATTCAACCACATGAATAATTATGGGCATTTACATCAGGTCCAGAAATATTGGGACGACACAATTCTAACATCTTTGGCTCTATACACCACCACAATGGAGTTGGAATGAAACAAACACAATGTGCGTTAACTGCAGACTGTCAGCTTTAATTTGAGGGTATGTACATCCAACTCAGGTGAACGGTGTAGGACTTACAGCAGTTTGCATATGCGTCTCCCACTTGTTAAGGGACCAAAAGTAATGGGACAGAATAATAATCATAAATCAAACTTTCCCTTCTTAATACTTGGTTGCAAATCCTTTGCAGTCAATCACAGTCTGAAGTCTGGAACGCATAGACATCACCAGATGCTGGGTTTCATCCCTGGTGATGCTCTGCCAGGCCTCTACTGCAACTGTCTTCAGTTCCTGCTTGTTCTTGGGGCATTTTCCCTTCAGTTTTGTCTTCAGCAAGTGAAATGCATGCTCAATGGGATTCAGGTCAGGTGATTGACTTGGCCATTGCATAACATCCCACTTCTGTCCCTTCAAAAACTCTTTGATTGCTTTTGCAGTATGCTTTGGGTCATTGTCCATCTGCACTGTGAAGCGCCGTCCAATGAGTTCTGCAGCATTTGGCTGAATGTGAGCAGATAATATTGCCCGAAACACTTCAGAATTCATCCTGCTGCTTTTGTCAGAAGTCACATCATCAATAAATACAAGAGAACCAGTTCCATTGGCAGCCATACATGCCCACGCGATGACACTACCACCACCATGCTTCACTGATGAGGTGGTATGCTTAGGATCATGAGCAATTCCTTTCCTTCTCCATACTCTTCTCTTCCCATCACTCTGGTACAAGTTGATCTTGGTCTCATCTGTCCATAGGATCTTGTTCCAGAACTGTGAAGGCTTTGTTAGATGTTGTTTGGCAAACTCTAATCTGGCCTTCCTGTTTTTGAGGCTCACCAATGGTTTACATCTTGTGGTGAACCCTCTGTATTCACTCTGGTGAAGTCTTCTCTTGATTGTTGACTTCGACACACATACACCTACCTCCTGATCTGGCCAACTGTTGTAAAGGATGTTTTCTTCACCAGGGAAAGAATTCTTCGGTCATCCACCACACTTGTTTTCCATGGTCTCCCGGGTCTTTTGGTGTTGCTGAGCTCACCGGTGCATTCCTTCTTTTTGAGAATGTTTCAAACAGTTGTTTTGGCCACGCCTAATGTTCTTGCTATCTCTCTGATGGGTTTGTTTTGTTTCTTCAGCCTAATGATGGGTTGCTTCACTGATAGGGACAGCTCTTCGGATCTCATCTTTAGAGTTGACAGCAACAGATTCCAAATGCAAATAGCACACTTGAAATGAACTTTTATCTGCACATTGTAATTGGGGTAATGAGGGAATATCACACACCTGGCCATGGAACAGCTGAGAAGCCAATTGTCCCATTACTTTGGTCCCTTAACAAGTGGGAGGTACATGTACAAACTGCTGTAAATTCTACACGGTTCACCTGAGTTGGATGTACATACCCTCAAATTAAAGCTGACAGTCTGCAGTTAACGCACATTGTGTTTGTTTCATTCCAACTCCATTGTGGTGGTGTATAGAGCCAAAGATGTTAGAATTGTGTCGATGTCCCAATATTTCTGGACCTGACTGTACATCTTTATACATCACTGCTCCAATGCAATGATTATTAATGAGCTGCCTGGTACAATTCAAGGTACTGGTTGTAACTTAATGTGTCCTCTGAGACCCAAATGGCAAAGCCAGAAACAAGTTTACAAATAAATTAAGAAATAAACATTTAACTTGCATGTGCCTGTACTAGCACTTGTAAAATATGTACTGTAGGCAGAAAACACCCTTCAATGCAAACTTTTTAGTGTGAAAACTGTCTTTAACGAAGATGAAAAAATGTATAAAAGCAATCATCCAGCCACAGGGCAGTAGAATAATTCAAAAAATATTTTTTCTTAAATTTTCTTATTTCCTGAGCTAACCTTTGTCCTTAATTTTTTTTTTTAGGTAAACTGTCATTTATGGAGGTTGGTAGTACATCTATTAACCTCCCTATAATCTTGTTTCCAAAGAGAAACAGGACAGCGGAAGATTGATCTGCATATTTCGAATTCTATTCCCCCATGATTATAATACCGTAAGTTTTTCACTATTAACAGAGGGTGGCTAAATCCCAGTGATGTGAGCTGTTTAGAAATATAAACAGGAAAACAAATTCATTTCTGAAAAATATTTCCAGTGCCTTACATGTGCAGTCATTTAGTTTGCTTTGCTTGGCAATCTTTTATTGGATACACTTCAAAATATTTTTAAAATAAATTAGTAAGTGTCTCTGCCACCATGTTAATGAAAGTGCGCTTCAATCTGGTAATTCCTATTGTTCTAGGTTAGTGATGGCGAACCTTTTAGAGACCAGGTGCCCAAACGGCAACCCAAAACCCACTTATTTATCTCAAAGTGCCAACACGGCAATTTAACCTGGATACTGAGGTTTTACTACCTAAAATAATGATAAACAAGGCAAGAGTTCAGCTAATCTAAGAAAAATGTGATAAATGCACTTTTATGCCCCTTCATTTTTTTTCTGTTTGTGAAATATTACTTTTAGCAATAATAAAAAAGAAAAACTTTTATAATATCATTTCTCTTTCCCGCCCTCTCTTTCCCTCCATTTTTTTCCTTCCTTTCTTTCCCTCTCTTTCCCTCCTTCTCCTCTATTTCTCTCTCTTCTCTCTTTCTCTCCCTCTCTCTTTATATATCTCTGTCTCTGCCTGTTGCTCTCTCTTTCCCTTCCTCTCTCTCTGCCTCTGTTTCTCTCTCTCTCTGTTCTCCCTCTCTGTTCTAACCTAGGCTTCCTGATACAATAAAAACACACAATGAGTCCCAAAAACCCTCTTTTTATTTCCATGGCTGTGAATTCTGCTCATTCAGAGCCTGTTCATTCCCAATCTGTTCATTCACAGAGGAGTCCAAAATAATTGTAAAGAGTCCGACAGAAATCTGCCACAATTCTTCGGGATAATGGTGATAAACATCCACCTTTATCTCCCTTGACACGCTGCCAAGACCTAATTGGCAATTAACTTTGCAAAGCCACACAGAACACAGAGTCAATACAGAGCTGCAGTCTTGAAACTGGCCAGCACGAACAACAGTTGCTTCCTGCGAAGGGCTCATGTGCCTTTGCTTCTCCTTTATGTCTTATGGGAGGGGCCAATCATCTCCACGTCCTACTCCCAAGTCATCTCTTTTAACTGTTCTTGCCTTCTGACAGCTCTGTGCATGTGCACACTGGGAACAGGCTCCCCTTGTTCCTCTGCCTCGCTGATGTCCAACTCTGGAGGCTCCAGAGTCTGCACATAACTCCCAGATGGCCCTGGCCCCATCTCTGCCTCCGATGCAGAGCCCTCGTCCGAGCCTTCCCCAGACTCCAGGACTGGCCCATGTTCCTCCCCAACCTCACTTCCGATTCTGCTGCTAGCTCCGCAGGCTACCGGCAGACCACAACGCTCTCTTTCTTTCTCTCTTTCCCTCCCTCCCTCTCTCTTTGTGTCTCATCTGTCTGTCTGTCCATCCATCCATGCTCTCCTGCCCATATTCATATTCAAGAATATGAAAAGTACCTGGATCTTAGGACAGTGTTTCATTTTCTCCTCCTGTGGGATTGTATTAGTTACAACAACAGCTTCAAATGCAGCATTATTGATCCGAGAAATAGCAGGGCCAGAAAAGATCCCATGAGTGAGAATTGCATAAACTTTAGTTGCGCCTGCAGAAACCAGCCTGTCAAACACATAAGATAGGGGAAAGTATTTCTACAAACATCAGCCAATGATATATTAGATTCAGGTAAATCTAAATATCCTTAATATTTACAAAAAAAAAAAAAAAAGATAGTAAAAGACACGCCTGCATTTTTTCCTGGCAGATAAAAGAACCAGATGGAACATTCCTTTAGATGCTTGGGAATGCTTCCTGTTGTTATACTATATTATGCCATTATTATGATACATTATGCTTCTGTGGCATGCCATACATGTTTAAGCGAACATTAAAATTATCACAGTAATATAAAACAAAATGAAAATTATCCTTTAATAAACCAAATTGCTAAGATACTCTTCTTCTACATTCTGTTCTAGTATATGGAGCCTTCTTGAACTGTGTTCTCTATATTGGAGCATCTTCAGAGTCACTAGATATTCTCAACATACTTTCCGAAAATAATTTCCATACCTGACTATAGGTAGCCCTCGACTTTACAGAAGTTCATTAAGTGACCATTCAAAGTTACAACGGCACTGAAAAAAGTGACTTATGAACGTTTTTCATACTTATTACAGTTGCAGCATCCCTCTGGTCACATAATCAAAATTCAGATGCTTGGCAATTGGTTCATATTTATGAAAGTTTCATATTTATGAAAAGTTGTTGTAGTTATGAAAGTTGTGGTGTCCTGGGCCATGTGATTGCCTTTTGCAACCTTCTGACTAACAAGCAAAATCAATGGGGAAACCAGATTCATTTAACAACCATGTTAACTAAATTAACTGCAATGAGTCATTTAACAACTGTGGCAAGAAAGGTCATAAAATGGGGCAAAACTCACTTAACAAATGTCTCATTTAGCGACATAAATTTTGGGCTCAATTGTGGTTGTAACTTGAGGACTATCTGTATATGTGCACTGCAAAGGTGTGATGACTATGCAGTGAAAGGCTATTATATAAAGACTATTATCGGTCTTCATCCCAGTCCACTATTCCATCTTGTTTGAAGGCTTCCACCATTGTTCCACTGCCAAAGGAATTCCCTATCAATAACCTCAACGATTATAGACCAGTGGCACTCACTCCTATCATCATGAAGTGCTTTGAGAAATTGGTCTACAGGCACATCATTTCTGGTCTTCCGCATACATTTGATTAACACCAGTTTGCATACAGAAGAAACAGATCTACAGAGGATGCTATAGCCATCACTCTTCACACTGCTGACTCATTTGGAACGGGGGGGGGGGGCTATGTGAGGATGCTTTTTGTAGATTTTAGTTCTGCATTTAACACAATTCCACATAGACTAATGTCTGCACTTATGGATCTTGGGCTTTCTTATTCAATCTGCCTTTGGATTATGGATTTCCTGTCTGGCCGCTCTCAGAGGGTCAGATTAGGTAATCATATCTCTTCATCCCTTATTTTTAATACTGGTACACCACAGGGTTGAGTGTTGAGTCCCTTACTCTATACTCTTTATGTGCATGACTGCATTTCCATTCATGCTAGTAATACTATTACTAAATTTGCAGATGATACAACAGTGGTGGGACTGATCTCCGGGGGGGATGAGTCTGCCTATCTAGATGAGGTGGAACGGTTGCTTTTGTGTTGTAGAGACAATAACTTGGTCCTTAACACAAATTAGACCAGGGTGCTTATAATGGACTATAGAAGGAATAGATCAGACATCCAGCCCTTGCTTATCAATGGAGACTGAGTGGAGCAAGTGGCCAGTTTTAAGTTTCTGGGTTTTATCATAAAAGAGGACCTGACCTGGGGCACTCACATTGCAGCTCTGGTCAAAAGGGTCCAGCAGAGATTATACTACCTGAGACTTCTCAGGAAACAACAACTGAATGAAAAACTGCTGGTGACCTTCTACTGCTGCACCATAGAGAGTATTTTAACTCACTGCATCTGTGTATGATTTGCCAATTGCACAGTGACAAATAGGACAGCACTCCAGAGGGTCAACGTCATTGCTCAGAGGATCATTGGTTTCCCTCTCCCCTCCTTGGAAGAGCTTTATAGCTCCTGCTGCCTTAAGAAAGTTCAAAACATTCTTAGAGATCCATCTCATCCTGGGCACCCTTTTTTTGAACTATTACCATCTGACAGATGGTACAGGTCAATAAAAACAAGGACAAATAGGCTGAAAAACAGCTTCTATCCCAGGGCAATAACCATATTGAATTCTACGGTAAAGTGCAATATTGGGCTTTCAATTTCAATTATATAGAATGTAAAGGATGTATGATTTTTTATTTTTATTTTTTATTTTTATAGTACTTTATGTACACTGAAGACGGCATTTAATTTCGTTGTACCATGTGCAATGACAATAAAGTAAACTATATTATATCACTTGATTAAGTCAAAGTTTATTTTCATCTGGGAAACTTCAATTTTAAAAGATGAGATAATTATTTTGTTCTATGAATTTCCTTAACTTTTGATGAACATAAGAAAAATAAAATAAAAATGGAAATCTAAAATTCTGTGCATACACAATCCACATTTCTTAAATTAAAACTCATTGTTCCTTTACAAGAAACTCCTTTAGTACCTTTGCTTCCTTTTGCCTAATATCTTAATCCAAAAATCAGACTATATTCCTCAGGATTTACTTACTTGTCAGCTGCATGACATATTGTGCCACATGTGTCTGCCATATCATCCACAAGAATTGCTACACGATCAGTCACGTCCCCAACCAAGACCATTCGGTCCACTTCATTGGCTTTCTTTCTTTCTTTGTGAATCAGGGCAAATTCCACATTAAGCCTGTCTGCAATTGAAGTGACCCTATAGTGTGTTAAGAGAGGAAAAATGAGAGAGCAAATAGTTTTAAATATTGCATGTAACCAATGTTTGAACGGAATCCTAGACTTCTTTATATCCTTTATATACTGTATTAAATTCCTAACACGTGTGCTTATATCTCAGTTATTTGTTCAGCCCCACTGATACATCAAAATAAACTACCTAGCTTTAAAAACTTACATCCTGACAACAAATCAATCAATTTATGATTGCTAAAAGTCTGTAAACAGATCACTAGATATTTTAAAGTTAAGATCTTCAACTTACAGTGCTTCTTAAACAAATCTATTCTGTGTTTGGCTATATGTGATTATTCATATACACAAAATTAAGAGTGACCTCTAGTGGTCCAAACAAAATGAACTAAGAGATACTAAGAATGTGTGTATGTATGTACCATGTGTTCGGTCTGTCTCTCTGTCTGTCTGTCTATCTATGGGTGGTGTATATCTACTTATGGATAAAATCTAGGATGAACAGACTATGTACAGTAAGTTTTCAAAGTATTGACGACATTTTCTGAGATACAGAGAACTACAGGCAATCTGTATGTTTGCACATGATTACACATAGACAACAGACTCATATTTTTTAGTGATCTGTGTTCTTGAATCATGACTGTTCATTTAAGTAGTCATAGCAAGATCTACAAACTTGGCATAAATACATATAGGTAGTCTTCAACTTAAGGCAATTGAGCTCAAAATTTCTGTTACTAAGCGAGAGTTGAGTGAATTTTGCTCTATTTTATGACCTTTTCTGTCAGTTGTTACATGAATCCTGCAGATGTTAAGTTAGTAACAGTTAAGCGTATCTGGATTCTCCACTGACTTTAACTGTTAGAAGTTTGTAAAGGAATCAAACATGATCCTGGGACACTGCAGCTGTCAGAAATATGTGACAGTTGCCAAGCATCTGAATTTTGATCACATGACCATGAGATCTGCAATGGTCATAAGTCATTTTTTTTCAGTGCTGTTGTAACTTTAGTCACTAAATGAACTGTTGTAAGACAAGGACTACCTGTGTACACATATGTATCTCCATCCTAAGTTGTCATGCATGAACCTGATTCGAAAAACTGCTCATTTAGGTGAGTGATTGTTGGACTTTTAAAAAAGAATCATTGTTGCTATCTACAAATCTGATTTAGGTCCATGACTAATATTATACAAGTTTGCTACTTCAGTCTGACCCTCTCGTTTTACCCACTATAGCAAATTTAATATAAAGTGAACAATCTTGATTTAAAAATCCAACATTAGGAAGCATATAATTCCAAGGAAAGGAACCTTCACACTACTTGTATAGTGGTATTACAAAAGATTTCCATTTTGAAATAACTGTTCTGATCTTACCAGAAGTGTTTCAAGCCCAAAATCTATTGGTTTCACCTGGAACACTGCTGGCAGGGTCATAATGATTCAATTTTGAACTTGGAATGTTCTACCTAGACAGAAATAGGAATGTTTTTGTAAGAAAGAAGCTTTGGCACAAAAATGAACAGAGGGAGTGCCAAATTCGTCAAAGGTATCAAGTTCCAGAGTTAAATCCACCATTGAAAATACCTTTGGCATTATGTATTAGAAAAAGAGTATTACATTATTATTATTGACTTCAGTAACAAAGTGAAAATGAAGACGTCAAATAATCTTTATAGCTTAAAACTTTCCAAAGTTTCAAGTCTGGTGCTGAAGATTGCTTTTGACACATGAAGCAAACAAGTGTACTATGCAACCCTCTGGCTTCCAGGACCAAAAGATTCTTTAAAATACATAAGGGTATCAATGTGGCATATATATGCAATTCTTTAAACTAGCTTTCCCTAACCTTTCCAGGTGGTGGCCCGCAGGAGGGAAGGGGTGAAAGAAAGGATGGTTTTGTGGGAGGGGCAAGTGTGAGTACTCATTGCTTGTGTTGAGTGGGGCTACGAGCCCCTGCGACACTCACACAATGGGCCTATGCCTGTGCGGACGCACAATCACCAGCTGGCCACTCATGCGGCCCAGTTGCAAATAGGCCACAGCCCAGCAGAGGGCCATGGTTCACACTTAGGATACCCCTACTTTAAACTACACACATTTTTTCTGAGTGTGCTGCAATCATCAAAGGCAGAAACACAAATATGATATAGCCATTTTAGGTGCAGCACAGAAGTGTCAGATGAGCACCTAAATTGCTCCCAAGCACTTTTTTCCCCTAAAATCTATATTAGCATTAGCACTTAGACTTATATACCACTTTACAATGCATTACATCTCTAAGCTGTTTATAGAAAATTGCCCCCAACGATCTGGGTCCTCATTTTACCGATCTCGGAAGGATGGAAGGCTGAGTCAACCTTGAGCAGGTGAGAACTGAACTGCTAACAGTCAGCAGAATTAGCCTGCAATACTGCATTCTAACCACTGTGCCAGCACAGCTCTTATACCCAGAACCCTATCATATATGGTTTGTTTGCTACAACTTAATCAAACATTGAATGCCAACATATTTTTTTCTTTTTTAGAATGAATGTTTATAAGCACACAATAGCTGCTGTGACCTTTTTGCTCCACCTGCATCGGGAGACACAATGACACAGTTTCTCCAGTCCACAATATTTTCTTTGATCCATTGTAACACAGCTGGTTCTGCATACAGGTTGTCCACAGGGATATCAAAGAAGCCCTGATATTACAAGAAAACAAACAATTGTATATTGAATTCTGTGAACAGCTGCCTTTATCTGGTCTGATTAAAAGATCACAGCAGAAGACAGAGGTGATGATATATAGTGTTTTCTGATGATATATATAGATTTTCTGTAGTGTTTTCTAGGCAACATGCAGGGCAAATTGTAAACTTGCTTTTATTTAGGCTTTCAAAAAACTGTTTAGACTTTATTCTATATTCTAGTCTTATTTTGGCATACATTTTTAATTACATTTTATTCTAAAATAAAAATATAGGAAAAGCAAAAGTAAAAAGAACTAAAAGAAAGAAAAAGAGAAAGAAAAAAGTGATGACTTCCTTTTTTCAGTGCACTAAAACAGAACCTCAAACTTGTTTTACTGTGCATTTCATGTTTCAACCTATTTCTATAACAAAATAATTATAATAATTAAAATTTAAAATCAAGTTTTGATTATGATGATCATTTCATTATATCATTTAATCATTTCATTTTTTCCATTTTGAGCAAAAAGTCCAGAAGCAGTTTCCAAATAAAACAAAACTAGTTAAATTCTTCTCTGTAATTTAAACAGTCAATTTCTCTATCTTTACTATTTCCATCACCGTTACCATCCACTCTTCCATGGTGAGAATTAGTGTGCCTTTCCATCTTTGTGCACTATCTTATAGTCTTAAAAGAGAATGTTTATAAAAGAATATATCATTGGTACATATCACCAGAAAAGCAGTCTAGAATGTATAAAGGTTCTTCAAATGTATGCTGAGAATGTTACCAAGGGAAACTTCATCACACATACTAGACATATAAAAGAAGCCAGAAAATTCTAGACTCAATTACAGATAATAATAGAGAAGATTTTAAAGACTTTATATACAATTCAATCACTTGGCATGAAACTTTGTTTTTAAATATGACAACTATAGTGAGACTATTATATGCATAAAGGTGGGAAGATTTGACTTGACCCACAATGAAGGAAAGAATGGTAACAATGATGGAACTTGCTCAGATGGCCAAAGTGACTTCTTTAGAGATACAATATTGTCTACATTTGATATTGAAAAACTCTTATAAAGTGATATGGTTTTGATTAGAACAAAAATAACATTATACAAAAATGTAAACAGTGGTATAACCATAGGGTAAGAAGGTTAATTTAAATTTATAACTGCTATAAAAGAAAATTGGAAGTACAAGTAGTCCACGATTAATGGCCACAAGAGAGCCCAAAATTTCTGTTATTAAGAAATTTGTTAAGTGACTTTTGCCTCATTTTACGACCTTTCTTGCCACAGTTGTTAAATGAATCACTGTAGTGAAACTGGCTTCCCAATTAACTTTGCTTGTCAGAAGGCCGTGAAAGGTGATCACATGGCCTTGAGATGCAACAATGGTGGTAATAATAATAATAATAATAATAATAATAATAATAATAATAATAATAATAATAATAATAATTTTATTGTCATTGTACATGTATACACAGTATACCCATAACAACAAAATTCACTTAACACCCTAAGACCAGGTCCAACACACATAACAATCCCCAAATACACTCCCACCCACCACAATTCCCCACCCCTAAACCACCACCCAACCATCCACACAACAGACCAATTAATACTGTCCAACAGCTCACTGATGATGGCCCTGATGATGCAACAATGGTCATGACTATGAACCAGCTACCAAGCATCTAAATTTTGATCACATGATCATGGGATGCTGCAAAGGTCATAACTGTGAAAAATGGACTTAAGTCACATTTTTCAGTGCCGTTGTAACTTTGAATGGTCAGTAAACTAAATATTGTAAGTTGGGGACTATCTGTAACTTCTTTATAATCTTTTTCTTTTGATTTCTGCATTTTTGTTTTTTCTCTTTTTTTATTCTAAATATTAGTTTTTATTAGTTTTTGTTGTTTCAAAATTCTAATATAGTTTATTATCAAAAAAGCTTCTAGACATATGTGGAAAGGTGGGCTAAATCACTGCTATAATATATTTATGACCTAAATGTAACCTCTAACTAGTTGTGCCCAATCATTTAAGGAAATGAAGCAAGCAGACAAATCCTCCACAGAGATATAGAATGCAAAGGTCTAAAAGAAAATACCAATTTACTGACTTACAATCTATTTCAGCCTGAGCTAAAAGACTGTATAAGTGGTTCTGTTTTGTAACTGTTTATTCTGCAGGGCTATTTTGCGATTTGGTTCATTTTTAAAATTTTTAACATAATATTCCTTTTCTTTTATCCTGCAGTTTATGGATCATCCAGCTTGTCCACTGAATGGTCCCCACACTGGCAATTTATTTTACACATTCCCTAAATTCTTGGGAGGTTATCCTTATCAAAGGGCAGCATTTGCAGAATTGTGGTGTAAAGGACTGTGGGAGCCAGGTATAGAAGTCACCAGGAGGTACATCTGTATAAGTGTTTGTCTCTGACTCATAATTACCTGGATCTGGGAAGCATGCAAATCCATGGTGATAATGTGGTCTGCTCCAGCAACTGATAACATGTTGGCAACAAGTTTTGCAGAAATGGGAGCCCTGCTCTGAAGAAACAAAATTTGGATTTTATGAACTTTGAAAGTAATTCTTAAAAGTCTACATTTATTGCTACAAATTATTTTTATACAAAACAAGTAGAAATTCCATCAAAAATTGTACTGTTCTTTCCAAACAGTAATGTTCTTATTCAAGTTAAAACTCAACAGGCATGTTTTTCTGGAATATTATTTTTTCATAGTATTGGCCTTACCAAGCTATAACAAGCTTTGTCCCTCCCATCTTTGTTCTGCATTTTTTTGTTTTTGTTTTAATGACACAGCAAGTGACAGTGGAACTGTGCAGTGCTTCAAGGCAAAGAAAAAAGTGCTTCAAAGAATGAAGAAGCATTCTGAAGATATCGGTCTGCACACCTTGTTAAAGCAGCCATATATTTTCCTGGGATTGTCATTCTCTATAGCTACTCTGCAGTCCCTTAAAAATGTTTGGTTTATGGAGTGGTGGACATACGCTACATTAATTAGAAGGCCTAGGCAAAGTGCTTCTTCTTAATTCAGAATTATATGTACTACACAATTCAACCAGGCATTACAGTTGTTCAGTTCCTTTGATTTGTGAACAATCCATGCAAATATCTCACAATTAAAGGAAAAATGACAGCTCACCAAAAAGGAATATTGCACATAACAAAACTGCAAGATTTCAAGCAGTGATTTAAATACTAAAAAGCCATGAGGCAGAAAACTTTCATAAATTTCATTTCAGCAAGCAAAAGCAAAAATAATCATTCAAACAAAATGCAAAACAGATGTTTTTTTTAAAAAAGAGATGAGATAACAGCTATGTCATTTACATCAAAAGTTATATGGTAAAATTCAATTTAAAGCTTATGGTTAGGGGAGCAATAGTAGACAACTAAAAGACCAGTAATTATTTCAAAGTAATATTTGAGGTTGAACCTCAGAAAAGATATAACCTGTAAGCAGCCCAGAGTCACCTTGTAAAGGAGATGGGCAATATAAAAATTAAACAAACCAATAAATAAATACAATTAAAAACAAACATCAGCCAGGTTTATTAAGGCAAATTGTGTTTTTTGGAAAGAACAACTCTGAGAATAGGGTTTCAACCAGTTATTCTAGTTTATCTAGAATATTACTACCACAAAGTCCAAAGAAAGGGAGAAAAGTTAAAGACAGTTAGGTAGAGTTAATACAAATATAGGACAGGGAATTAACTTTTTACAGGAATCCTCAGGACTATTATCTCTAAACAGCCCTAAAACTATTCCAAATCTTTTAAAATTACAATTTGCTTCAGAGAGCAAGCATCACTAAAATGCATTATTTCAAAGATGTCCAAAGGCAGCAAAAAAGGGGATTCTTTTTGTTTTACAAAAAATTAAAGATAACAGTAGCCACACCACTTTTGGTGATGAAGTGGGCACATCTATGTAAATTTTTGCAGCAGTAACACTGATTTGCCATTGACTTCTTTCAACCTTCTAATCTACAGTCCTGATGGTCCTACTTCAAACAAATAACAGGACTGTTGATATCTCAAACAGAGTCATTCTAAACCAAAAAGCCAACTTCAAATTCTTCATCCACTTGTTTACATTTTGGAACAAACTCCCTGAAAGAAGTTTCCTTCACTTTCATCATACGGTACTTTGAAATTTCAAGAATTCAGATCTAGTTTTGATAATACACAAACATGTATTTTTCCCTATGTGAAACATTTATTTTTCCTAGGTATTCCTAGTAACAAATATCTGAAGAACAAGCAATGAAGCCATTATCAAAAATCTGATATGTTACAGACATACAACTTTTTATGATGACACTGATTCAGAAAAGCTGCTGAACCTTATTCAACAGTTGGGCTCAGGCAGGTGAATTTGTCTACCACACTTTTTGACTTACACTTTTCTAGAATGCTATGAAGTTAAATGACATGATCTTACTTCTCATGCTTATGCCACCAACTGATAAAATTTTCTCTCTTGTAATACTCATAATGTGGAAAAATATCAACTTTTGCTACTTCTGCAATAATATAGAAGCACACTTTGCTTATACAGCTCATGTACAACACACACAAGTTTGAGCAAATAGGCAGATTTAAAGCTTTCTTGGTCTGGCAAGTATTTAAGATATTGTTTCAGCTAACATATTTACTTTGGAAAAACTTTGTATTGATTTCAGTATGAACTTTGTCACACTAACAAAAAATTGCTAACTTATTTGTAATGGCAAAAGTCCCAGGCTCTTGCTTTTACAGTGCCTAAGGATAAAGCTTGCTCCAATGGTAATTAAATATTATGCAATGAGACTCCAGCAGTTGAGATAAAAATGGGTATGCTGAGATTGTAATAATCCATGGTATATTTTAGAGTTAAGATAGCTGCAAGGTACCACTTACCCATCTACCTTGGTCCTATATAGGAAAACACAATAAAAGCAAATTAATGAAATGTGCAAATCCTCATATGCAAGAACAGGATAAATTTAAAAACCATTTCAGTCAAATTTATCAAAATCCCAACTGACTTTTCTCATTTACAAAGATGTAGTATTATAAACAAAATATTATAGGGTTCATTAAGAAACAGATCTATTCATGCATTTGAAGATGGATGTTGCATATGATTTGAAGAATTAAACAAGTAAATCACTTTTGAAATTTCTAGTTTCAATATTTTCATTTATGAAACAATGTAAGTCAGAAGTGAGACTTTTAAGATCATGTGTCCACATGCAGAACTTATATATAGTATTCAAAGAGAATACAAATATATATTGTAACAAATACAGGGTATCTTTGAAGTAGAAACAATTTAAAAATCCATTTAGGAAAAAGTCACAATTGTTTAATATTAGCATTTGAATGGAATAAGGGCATTGAAACTCTTCTCCCAAGCCTTTAGCAAGGGTGAATGAAGCCCCTTAAGAGTGAATGGGATTTCCTTTTTTCCCATTTCTGTGGGTTATTATTAACTTTGCTATCTTTTATTTTTTTATGCTTGTTTCTAATTGTATTGTTTTAGAATATGTGTTTATTTGTGAATTGTTCAGGGTTGTTGGGAGATATACAAATTTAATAAATAAAATAACTAAAGATAACTATGAAGTATATAAGCAAAACTGAAGGGGAAGAAAACTGCCATGAGACAGCATACACCATGGTGACTATTAAGTACAACTTCTAATGTGGTAACTACTGGAGATTATTGTTCACATAAATGGTAGATTTTCTTTACTATACAAAGCATTTGGGTAAAAAATGAAAATGACTGTTTCACTGACTTTCAAGAGTATCTCACTTGATTATCTAACCATAGGTTTTCAACTGTTGTGCTCACAGTTGCAAAAATTGTGGTAGCCAAACACTGAAACCCAAGAAAATATATAATCAGAAGCAGATTATTAAGGTATGGCCAGCAGCAGCAGCAGCAGAATTAACAGAATTAAAGGAAATAATTAAACATAGCATGGAAAGATTTGTATAAAATAGCATATTTTTCTTCTTTGAAAGCAACACTAGACACAACATAATTTATTTTGTACAGAGGAATGTAATATTTTGTTCCATTCACGTGGACACACATATAGCATACATCTGTAAAAATATTTTAGTAAAATACGTTTTAAAAATAAAGACTTGAATTTCTCTTCCTCCTTTTCATGGTGGTGGCTTTGGAGAACAGTCTTTTCTTATTTAAAGTGGAGTGAAGGAAGAAACATGTTCCAAAATCAGGGCATTGTTTCCTAACTTTCTTTCCTTTTCTCTTGTACTTTGCTTGTCATCAGACTTTAAGTGAAGTTCTAATTTATTTACATCTAAAGAAATTATGATTGGGCATTCTACTTTCATGGCTCTGAATCTTAATTTGGGCCAGAACCTTTGTATTTCCCTGTAGTGATACTATATTTCCTGGCAATAGAAAAGCATGCATAGGTTGCACATGTTAAGCTAATTTTAAAGGCAAGTTTAAGATATACAACTTGACTACCATTGGTCACATAATTTAAATGGTAAACAAACGTGGTTAACATTATACAACTTTCTTACCAGATTAGAAGATGCTGAAAAAAATGAGGTCACAATATAGCAATAATCCAAACTGGCTTTAAGAATTCTTTAGCACTGTATATTACAGACTAAACATTTGTAGCCACATAGTCTGAAGAATACATGAAATGCATTGCCAATTTCTCTCAATACTTCAGTAAAGTTTAAAATTACTTTTAAATGGAAAAAAATTACAATAAAAAGTACAATAAACATTTTGCAGTAGCTCAGATGCTCAATAAATTTAGTGTCCTAACCAAGTTTAAGAATTATTAATAATTGTTTTAGATTAGAATTTTAGAACAGAAGGTTTTAGAACAGAATTTTTTTTTTCGCTATTGTTTCTGGTTCCGAGAACCTTAAAATAATACAGTAATTCTTCTGTAGCTCTGTATACCACTTTAATCTCCTTCCCTGCCATGGAAAAAGAAAAATTATACTTATACTTAGCCAATCTGATATAAGTAAAATAATTGTCTTATAAAAATGCTCTTTTTTTCCATTTTAAATAATATAACAGAAAAAGGCAGACTTGTAATCCTAAAAAACTTTGGCTTTTTAATATATCATCATAGTTCTCATTTTGTGCAATAACAATATTGTTGGCTCTCTTTCCTACCTTCCAAAACTCTTGAGGGAGCAAGAGCTGAGGAATGTGAAGCTGTGCACTTCACAAAATATTGTACCAAACTAATCAGTTACGAAACAAATAGTTTGCCTGTAAATAAATTCTCTTTGTTTCAGGGCACTAGCTTCAGAATCTTAATAAATTGGCTAATGAAGAATCCCTACCCCTCACTTACCTTATCTTTCTTATCTTGCCTGGCATAAGGAAAACATGGAATTACTGCTGTCACACGGGAAGATGATGCAATCTTGCAAGCATTGATCATGATGAGAAGCTCCATCAAGTTGTCATTTATTTCTCCACAACCACTTTGGACGATGTACACATCTTCTCCTCTAACACTTTCACCAATCTCCACACTGAAAGATTAAAATATGTGCTGTGAAGCAATGACAACTGAGCACTCTAATCTTACAGACCATTAACATTTTGCATTCATAATTGACTTCTTTCCAAATTAGTCCTCTTCAGAAATAGATAAAAGTAAGCAGGGAGTGGTTACGTGCTGAGCCTGTTTGCATTCCTTTTCAGATGAAGGCCCCCATTCATTTATGGACTTATTTATTTTCATTCATATATTCACATGCTTAGCTTCATCATGGGATTCATTTATTCTTTATGCAGTTTAGAGGCTACCCAAGTCTATAAGACCATATCTGGCTTACAACTTTCAAGCCAGGAAACAATAAAAGGTCATCCAGGGGGAAAAAGTCAGTAACACAAAAGGTCTCAGCATCTACCTTATACCCCAAGGTCTAGGAAAGTAGTCAGATTTTTCAACAACTTTCTGAATAACATCAGGGTGAGAACCATAGACCTCTGGGGACATTTTTGGAAGGGTGGGAATCAGTAACAATATTCCAAAAATAATGAAAGGTTTGTTCTACTGTTCCTTAAGGAGACAATTTTAAAATGCACTTTTTAAAAACAGCTGCAGGAAAGCTAGATATCTCATTTGTACCCTAACACGAGTCTTCTCTCAAGCCAACACCCTGAGAGCAGTTTAAGTCATCCTGTTCTGTAGATTGGGCAATCAATAGCATTCAGGCTGAACTTCTGCACCTCTTAAAAAAATGAGGGAGAAAAGATTTTTGAGGTATCATTATTTTTGTTGTAGAATTCATTTTTAAAAATAATATCCATAACAAATAATGGAAGCAACAGTTCAAATCATGTATGAAGCTTCACTGCACAAAAAACAACAGAACTGAACCTAGGAAAGAAACAAGAGCAATGGAGTCATTTCAATCCATCCCATCAGTAAGAATGGAAATACATTTTTATGCCTGCAGCCAAGTACACACTTGCATTTAGCCATCTGAAAACTCAGCATTACATCTGAAATGCACATGGGACAATACTTTCCTTGGTATTTGGCTGTCTGCTTAGGGGGGAAAAATGCAACTCAGAAAGGAACCTATACTTGTTTTACAGACTAAATCACTTCAAGATGGAGGAATGTAATTGTATACTAACTTGAGCTTCCTACCCCAATTCAACTTTCCAATTGCTATACTATTTTATAATGTACAAAGTAGCCCTAAAATGCAATAAATTGGCCCAACATACAATACATGAGACATCCAGAATTAAGTGAATATGGAAGTTTTAAAGACATTCCTTCTTTTTTTTATCTATATACTACTGAAACTCTTTGTGTCTATTTGATTGTTTGTAACCTTCAGTTGGGTGAAATAGTGCATCATAGGGCAGCATTTTTTGAATCAACATACATTAAATGGTCTAATTTACAGAATGTAAATTACAGAATGTGTCCAAAATCCAGGACATTACCCCATGGGATTGAACTCTAGCAAAGTTGTGGCTGCTTCAGCCACAGCCAGGTGATTGTCATTTTCAACAATCATGGCCACCTTCCTAAAGAAAAAACAACAACGAAACATCAATGGGGAAGATCATTCCTGTTTCCACAGGTCACGTTGTCTAACTGAAGTTATAAGAGCCTAACTTTTGCATCAGACTGTTACAGAAATCACTTTATTCCGCATGTATCAAGGACAAAATTACTAATTAACTAATCAGCCTCCTCTCCTCTTCACCCCCCATCCAATTTAAGCAATCTTCAGAAATGACGATATAGATGAAAGGGCATTAAGTAAGGTTTTTTTTTCAACACATCATCTATGTTTGTTTTATGCAACTTATTAAATTTGGTAATTCAGATCTTTCTGTTCAAATTCTCTATTAACGCATGCCAAATCAGTAATTAGGAAATGAAATGAAAACTATGTGTAAACACATGATCTGATTCTGTAATTGAAAATTACTACTTCTTTGGGAACAATAAGTTAATCATATTGCCTTTCTACTTTGCCATGGTAGACATGGTCAATACAATTTTAAAAACAGTGTAAAATTAAAACAGACTAAATCTGATACAATGAACAATACATCATATCACACAACTATAACATATTAAAAGATGTTCCACATTTTTATTAAAGTTTTAATATTTTTTAAAAATAAACATAAAATAATATTAATGATAAAATACTAACTAAGCAGTGGTGTTGAAGTCAAAGTTTTCAATTGCCCAATTTTTTATTATAAAGCAGTCTGTAAATACTTTTATAAAACAGAAATAGTGAATGTTCTTTGCTTCCCTACAGTCAAGAAATAAAAGATAAGAACAATACAGAACATTCTGGGCACTTGGGGAGCGTAGAGGCAATCTAACCAGTTTGCCTTCTGGCCAGTGGTCATTTTGTGACTGGCCATGTCAACAATGGAAACCATTTATAGTCAATCCCACAACGGTAACCATGTTGTGAGAAATCCATGGCTGGCCCTCACAATTCAGAATATAATCACCTTGCTAACTTTCCTTTGGTGGGACAAGCCTATTTGGTTCCCTATTTTAACTAAAGGTAGTCCTCAACCTATAACCATAACTGAGCCCAGAATTATGCCTGTAAGTCTTTGTGGTCATAAGTTGAGGTACTCATATGACCAGAAGTAATATTCCAGCCTTTTTCATTGTGGTTGTTAAGCGAACCAATTCACTTGAATGGCCATTTTATGCTGGAAATCAGCAAAAAATGCCAGAAACCAACAAAAATACATCACAAATTACAGTCACGTAATCGCAGAACACCACAGCCGATTGTAGAGCCGACCTGCAAGGCATGCAGATATGTAGCCAGGGTGCACAGTGTAACCATTTATAATTATCAGCTGTTAAATAAGGACTAGCTGTATATCACTCTACTGTCAAAGCAACACAATGCACCCATTACGAGTATAGTTTATATCCCATTCCATTTCACTGAATTCAGGTTAGTGCAACCATTTTGTGCAGAAAGCTGAACACCTAATAAAAAATTTACCTATGAAACTGACTTTAGTTTATGCCTAAATTTCCTTTCCCACCCATCCAGAAGAGCTAATTTAAGAAAACAAGACCAGTTTTTGCAGTTATGCTTCTCTCTAAATTAGACAAACATTGTGTCTACATTACAAGAATAGATCAGCAAGTAAAGAGCAGCATTTTCAACAAGTGTGAAACAGTACTTTTACTTATTTATGTATTTTACATGGCCACCCGCCTCATAGCAGCGACTCTGGACAGCGTACAAAGATGTGACACATGCAGACTGCCCTCACAACTCTACCATTCAATAGACAGCAGTTGATAAACAATTGCTTAGCTCTGATGGGATAACATCTACAAGCTGTTCCCAAAATGACACACATACTGATTAAACTATTGGTAGAGAGGGATGGAAAGATAGGGCAGAATGGAATCAACCCTTCTTTGAATTGGGGTGGGTAGATTTTATATCTAATGTGCACCTTTCAAATTCAAAGTTAAAAAGTGATTTATTTATTATTTAGTTATTATATTTATATGCTGCCCATCTTGCTACTGGAGACAACTCTGGGTGGCTTATAATATATATGCTTTGGTGCATGTGGAGGTCTCAAACATAGTGCTTATCTTCAACTTTTTAAAGCTTCCATGTCTTTTCTCAGGAGCAAGAAAGTGTGACAGAATAGTCTAACTCAAATCTAGGCCTTCAATTATCTTGAAATGAGTTCAGATAACCTATAATATAATTTTTTTTTAATTTTAGTTATATTATTACCTGAATCTGTATTATGTTCAGGAGCAATGTTAAATTACAGACAGTTGTTTTGGAAAGCATTGTAAATTAAACATTGTAAGCTAGTATTTTAAGAACATTTATAAAGTTACCTGTTTGGCAATACTGCCACATGAACTCTTAATTCAGATATCACAAAAGAAAAGGACGAATTATTAATTGTTGATGTTTATATCCCATCTTTCAGTGAAATTTCCAGAGGAATAAATACAATCGAGGATACAAATTAAAATACATCGCCTATGTGTAAATGGATCATGGAGTTGTGTGTTACATTTAAACAAACAAAAAAACAAACAACCCCCCCCCCAAGATTAGTTCTCCCAGCCAATCAATTTAAGCACTGTAGTAGAGATATACTATCTCACGCTTCTCCAGTGAACTATGTTATATGAACAGCTCACAAGGGATGTATAATATTAACAATCCTTTCCCACCCATTTATGAGGCTGTTTCATTTTTCCCTGCCTGTGGCATATATGGGGGTGAAAGGAGCTGACTACGTTGTTGAGGTTTCCTTTTTTTAGGGAAAGAAGTAAGAAAGAAAGCAGAAATTTCTGTCTGCTTTACAATGACTGAATGAGTTCAAATGGCAAAGGATCTCCATCTAGTGTCTGATTGCATGCAGATAAATCTTTTGGAAAGGGAGAATATAGCTATATTATCAAATGCAAAATACAATTAAAAATGAAAATATTTTACAATCTCAAAACATAAAGCTAGTTAAGGCTGAGCAGCATAAAAGATTAATATTGTAGTTCTATACAAAACCACTTTGAAAAATTTCGTTAACTTCAAGAGGATTTATAATGCTTGTGCACAGCAGAAATGGAGAACCAAAGAAGGTTCTTCACTTATTCATGAATGCTTTCTGAACATTAACCATGATGGCTAGGTCTGATGGAAGCTGATCTCCATATCATCTAGATGGCTTTCATCTTAGCACGCAGGAATGAAATCTTGCCTGACTAGAAGTTAGCCATTGCACTTTAATTTAGCCATATGACAATTTCTAGTCAGGTAATATTACCAGTTTTCAAACCCGTTAAAAGAGACACACTTAACAAGTAGCAAGAAACAGTAATTTTGGAGGAGACTGGTAAAAGAGATTGAACATGCTGACCAAATGTTGATTCTGGAATTCATTCCCTCAACTGGTCCAAAAGAACAAAAGTTTGTTGACCGTCAGGGCAAGCCTTATCAATGTACACAGACATTTTCCTTGGAGTTGTGTGGAAATAGCCTGAATTTCAGGAAGAGGATTAGTAGTATTTTAATACTAAGCCAATTGGTTAATTGTTCACTTCTAATAATGCACAGTGCAAAACAGCCACTCATGTAATAATGTTCTGCTAAGAACAGAACAAATGCAAGTCAGCAAGATCTTTCCTAGACTGGATGCCTTCCAAACATGGAGGTTCTACAGATCGTAGAATTGACTTCACTCAATCTGGCCAACTATCAGCCATGTTATATGAGAATTATGGAAGCTACAGTTTTAACATGTTTAGAGGGAACCAGTTTAGAGAAGTCTAGGTTAGAAATACAACTTGAGATGGCCTAATAATATTTGCCCATCAGCAAAACAAAACATCAAGTTACAAATGTTTTCTATAAAGACTGACATCAATTTCCCACTCACAGTGACATATGGTAACTTTGGGCCAGTTACCCTCTCTCAGCCCAGTCCACCTCCCAGGGTTGTTGTGAAGTAAGAGAGGAGGAGGAAAGTGTATTATGTACTTTCACCACCTTGCGTTACTTATGAACAGAAATAAATGTGGGATAAAAATCTAATGACAGATAGTAACAAAAAGACAAAAACATCAGAAAAGTATCAGTATCACTTCATTTCCTATTACTTAATAACGGAGATTAACTCAAGGATGGTGAAGTGAGGTTGAATATAGGAAATCAGCTTCAGATAGCAACTTCCATTTCCTGTGAAGATTATTGGTTATTTCGCAAAATTACTCTAATGATAAAATATGACTTCATACTTTCTTAAGAAGTTGACTACAGAATCCAACTGTACTCTCCTAAAACAATTTTATTTACAAGACACATTGGGGAAAAAATGAAGATAAAAAGACAAATCAGCATCAAGAGAATTTTCTTGATAACATTACAAGAGTTGATTTGTCATTATCTTCTTCCGCAATGGTATTGGGTATTTCTTAGGGGAGGGGAACTTTCTGGTTTACTCTGCTGCCCCAGTTTTTCTCCAACTCAAGTACTGTACTAACTAGATCGAATTCTGCTTAGTTTTTTGAGATCTGTCAAAGTTGATTAGCATTCAAATTAAGCATAAATGAAAAATACACAAATAGATCAAGCATAAGACTAATGCAGCATAACATTAATGAATTTGCAATGAAACTAAAAAGAATAAACATGCATTCAAAAATAGAGAAGCATTTTACATAAAATACTCACATGGAGGCAGAAAAATTGAAGTGCAAATATTGGAACAGATAAAAAGGAATTGGCAAGCAAGGACTAAAAGTGAATTGACAAAACCTTGGGGTTTTATGCTACTTCAGCTCTCCAAGAATTAACTGAAGAATGGATGCCAAATCCAATTCTGTTTTTAAAATATTTTCCATGAAATATTCTGTGTCCTCATATTCCTTTATAACAATAGTAATGGGTATCCCTAGTTTATAAAAGAGATTACAGGGAAATATAACTGGCTATTGGCATCAGTCATTTTCAACTCCTAGTGACCATATACATTTTCTTCATGCTGATCTATCCCTAACCTGTTCTTTCAAGTCTCAAAATATAATGATAACATTTAAGTATCCTAAGATATGACACATAGAAGAAGGAATAGGCTTATCTTGTTGCAGAACATAGATTAAAACGGGAAGGAATTACGTTCATGCTAGATATAAAGAGGAGCTTTTTGACTGTACAATGCCAGCCTTTGGAACAGACTGAGCCCTTGAAGTGGTGAATTCTTTCCTAGAGTTCTTCAACAAAGTCTGATGGTCATTTGTCCAACATTCCTGGCAGATCCTGTACTGAATTGGACTAGTTGACTTTCATGGTCTCTTTCAATTCTGTTACTCCATTACTATGAGACAACTTAATATAATACAGAGTAAGTGCTTTTGTTAATCAAAAGGAGAAAAAGAACAATAAATAATAAAATGAACTGAATTCTTGAGTTAATGTGACTGATAACACAATGTGACTGATAATACAATAAACACACATATAGATTAAACTTAGAAAAATAAGCCTATTTAACAATGTTAATTTACTTAAATAGCTTTATATTATTCTGTTACTTGCTTTCATAACAACATGCTATTCAGAACAACCACTGTTATTGGTTCTTGATTGCTTTATGTTTACTATGGAGGAACATATGTAATAAGCTTTGTCTATGCAATTATTAATGAATATCCAGAGCATTTCACAGCTAGATCACAGGAGGTGACATAATGGGATCTGGAGTAAATAAGAGTAATCCTGTTCCCTGAGTTAATTTAGAGCAGTTCAAGGAGAAAATGTTAAGCACATATATTTAAAAATAAAGAACTACAGTGTACTTAGAAACACTCTATAACAAATCTTGTGAAATGTAAACTATTTTTCAATGCTGTTCAATGCATGTTCTCTTAATCACATAAGTGCAATATTTCCAAGTGAAATTAGTTCAGAAGGAAAAACTTTCACATTATTTGTAATTTTGCTTGATGACTTGCCTAAACCTTTTTCCTAGTCACATGATCACTGGAAAACAGAACATTTGCTAAGCAGCAGCAAGAAAGTTAGGTAATCATGAAATCAACAGAGCTTTTAAAAACATTGTTCAGTTTTCATAAACAAGACTGTCACCATGAAGAGAAAAACAGTTTAAAGCTAGTAATAAAGTATATGTAAAGCAAAGTGAGTAGAGGGGATCATTAGTATCAGCAGTTTTGGTTAGTTGCTAGTTACAACTTGTGACCAAAACACAGCCTTAAAAGTACATCTTGGAAATCTTATACAAGATGTATTTTGAGTTTATGACAGTAAGTGGAGTATTTTTAAACTCAGAACTAATTTGCCCATAATTCACTTGGATGATTACCCAGAGAGATTTTATGTATCAATATGATCCTATTTAAAAAAAGATCATGCCAACAAATACAAAAGGACTGTTGTCCAAAAGTACTGAAAATGAGATAATATTCCAGATAGTGTACCGAGGCTACAATTTGTGGCTAAGCAAATCTGTTGATGTATAACGTAGGTAGCAACTTCCAGACTAAACACACCGGTGTATACAGGAAGCAAAGGGATTAAAGCGGCTTCTAGTAGGAACTTTTTTTTTTAATGCCAGCAAACCCATCCAGAGCACTGTTCTTCTGAACGCATGCAAGATTTATTTCATAAAGTTCTCCCCGATTGTTTATTCAGCAGTCTCTTCCCCCGCCCCACATCAGAAGTCTCATAATGACACTAATAGTAGTCTTGTCCTCCATCAAGACCCATCCACGCAGGAACTGGGCGAGACTTTTACACGCGACTGGGGGAGGCTGCGCATTTCCACAAATCCTTGGCTGCACAATTCACTTACGGGGTTCACACCCACCCTTCTTTTATCTGCCGCCCCAACTTCCACCATCCTGAGTGCAAAGGAGTGCAAATCCTCCTCGGGGGGTGGCAATGAGAACTGCGGGGATAACATCCAAGGGAGGCAGAGGAGGGCCGACCCGTCGCCCTTAGGCTCACCTGGTCTCCTGGTTGCTGAACTTCTTCGTCACCACCTTCCCCAGGTCCAGCCCCAGGCGATCAGCCACCCGTTGGGACAAGTCCTGGTGAGAACTCCCGCTGAAGAGCACGATGTTGGGCATGGCTGGGCACAGAAGGCCGAAACGAACCAGAACCGGGGAAGAGGAGGAGGAGGAGGAAGAAGGGGAACGAAGCCACGCGAGGGAGAGAAAAGAGAGCTGCCGCGCGCCACAGGCCGACCAAATAACCGCGGCCCCGCCTCCCCCCTCGTGGAAAGCGCGCCAGAAGGCCGCCCTCCCCTCGGCCCGCCCCCATCGCTCTCCGGGGCCACCGAGGCAACGGGCGGAGTGGGCGGGGCCAGGCCCTGGTGACGTTTTAGAAGGGCGGGATTCGAAGGGGGAAAGAAAGGTCGCGTGGGGGGAATGAGGCCTAGAGAGAGAAAAATACAATGTCTATAATGTGATAACCCCCAATTTAAATTTCCTGCGTCGTGCTTGAAGAACTTGCCGGAAGGAGGGTCAAATTGTGTGGAAGTTTATCTCGGGAAAGTGTTCCGCTTAAGAATGCAATGCTCTTACATTTTTTTATCTCTCTGATGAGGGGAAGGTATTATGGATGATGGGGAGCAAAGGTTGACGGGAAGGAGGTCCCGGTGGATGGAAACGGGATCCTGAAAAGGGAGGGAGCAGTTTGGGTGGAACCTGGTCATCCTGCTGTATTCGGAGAATGTGTTCCACGCTGATGGGTCTTACATTTCTTTTATTCATTAGTTCATAAATCAGGAAATTCTGTGCAGTTAAAATATGCTACAGGTAGTCCTCGATTTACAACCATTCATTTACTGACCTTTCAAAGTTATGGCACTGAAAAAGAGACTTATGACCATTTTTCACACAATGGTTGCAGCATCCCCATGGTCATGTGATCCAAATTCAGGGGCTTGGCAACTGGCATGTATTTATGATAGTTGCATGATGATCACCATTTTTAACCTTCCCAGCCAGCTTCAGACAAGCAGTCAATGGAGGAAGCCAGATTTGCTTAATGACTACACGATTTACCTAACAACTGCAGTGATATGCAGTCATAAAATGGGGCAAAACTGACCTAACAACTGCCTTCCTTAACAAAAATGTTGGGCTCAGTTGTGGTTGCAAATCAAGGATTATCTGTATTGTATATAATAAACCAGCCTACCAGATTTGATCTACAAAAAACAGGAGGACTTCTAGCTAACATTCTGGCTGGGGAAATATGGGAGTGTAAGGCCACACATCTTAAAGTTACCAAGATTGAGAAACACTGATCTAGATGGCTGCAAAGATGTCTCCAGGTTTTTATTTATTTATTTTTTATATATATTAAAAAAAACCCTGGAGACATCTTTGCAGCCATCTAGATCAGTGTTTCTCAACCTTGAGATAGATTGTTACATAGATAGATAGATAGATGATAGATAGATAGATGATAGATACCCTGTTTCCCCCCAAATAAGACATCCCCTGATAATAAACCCAATTGGGCTTTTGAGCGCATGGCAATAAGGCCAAGTGCTTATTTCAGGGTTCAAAAAAATATAAGACAGGGTCTTATTTTTGGGGAAACACGGTAGATAGATAGATAAAAATAATTTTATCATATCCAAGTCCATACCATTTAGGAGTCTTCAGAGAATCAGAAGTTACTGATTTTATATAGATTTCATACTGAGAACCTCCAGATATAGGTACAGCTCACATGATTCTGGTTCTTGGTACAGGTTGTCCTTGACTTACACCCACAATTGAGCCAAAATTTTCATGGCTAAACAACAGTTGTTAAATGAGTTTTATCCCATTTTACGACTTTCCACAATTGTTAAATGAACCACTGCAGCGGTTAAATTAGTAATATGGTTGATAAGTAAATCTGGCTTCCACATTGAGTTTGCTTGTCAGAAGTTCGCAAAAATTAAGCACATGACCCTGGGACTCTGCAATTGTAATAAATACAGGGCAGTTGCCAAGCATCTATATTTTGATCACATGGCCATGGGGAAGCTGCAATGGTCATAAGTATGAAAAACGGTCATATATCACCAGTGCCATTGTAACTTCAAATGGTCACTTAAATGAATGGTTGTAAATTGGTGACTACTTGTATTTCCTGTAGTGGTGTATCAGTTGCTTGTCCCTCTACTACTGATTTTAATTATACTCTACATTAATTCTTATTATTTCCTTATTTGTACATTGTTCAAATATATATTCAGATATTTGTCTAAAGGCAGCATAAGTAATAAAATATTGATGGAACTACTGACATGGGTTGCACATGAACAGATATACTGTATACCCACTACATAGGAGGATTCCTCTCCCCTTGCCCCCATCCTATTGGGGGTCTCAACAGATTTTGATACTACCAACCATGGTTTATTTCCATAGCATGCAAGGATTGGTGAGAGGAGAATACTGTGTTGCAGTGGTTCTCTTTCCAGAACAGGTAGTTCCAGAAGAAAGAATGGAAGAAATTGGCCCAGGCCTTGGCATTCTGCCCTTGGTTAATATCAACATGGAACCACTCAGGAATTATTTGCCAACATGTAATTAATTAACTATGTTGATGATTCCCAGTTGTGTATGTTCGCGTTGTTTAAGCGATACAGCTGAAGGTTTGATTCATTGCCTGGATGTTTTCAGTCTGGATAGGGAGAAACAGACTCGGACTTAACCTGCAGTAAGACAGAATGGTTGTTGATTCAAATGTCTTCAAATTTCAGAGAAATCTAAACTTGATTAGATGAAGTTACTCATCCAGAAGACAGCAGATTGTGCAGTCAGGCTTTTCCTGGAAACATAGCTCTTGCTCAGAACTTTAGGCAACCCAGAGAGTCATCTAGGTACCCAAATAGAAAAAAATCCAAAATAAAAAATCTGATAATTTTTCCTCCTTGGTTTATAATTTATCTTTTTTCATTTTTCAAAAATACTTACTGAAAAGTTCAGTTGAGTGGTAGTGAGTAGCATACTAGCCAGATGTGGCAAGTCATGAAAAAGAAATTATTACGTCTGTGGATCTGTTAGCTTTTAATATTACCAAAGCAAAACAAAAGTTTCTTAAGAAGATACTGAGTGAGCAAGTTGTGTGACTATTGGGGCTATCACAGAGAAGAGGGGGACAACCTATTTTCCAAAGCATCCGAAGGCCAGACAAGGAACAATGGATGGAAACTGATCAAGGAGAGATTTAACCTAGAAATAAGGATAAATTGTGTGACAGTGAGAACAATCAACAAATGGAACAGCTTGCCTTCAGAAGTTGTGGGTGCTTCATCACTGGAGACTTTCAAGAAGAGACTGGAAAGCCACTTGTCAGAAATGGTATAGGGCAGGGGTGTCAAACTCACTTTGTCACGGCAGCGTCACGTGACATATCAGGACTTTTCCCCCCTTCACTAAACCGGGCGTGGGCATGGCTAGGGTGTGACGCTTCCGGCCCATGGGCCAGGAGTTTGACAGCCCTGGTATAGGGTCTCCTGCCTAAGCAGGGGGTAGGACTAGATAACCTACAAGATCCCTTCCAACTCTGTTATTGTTCTTATTCTATCAGGTTATCAAAATTATACCCAGAAAAGTGATAGCAATATACCTGTGCATGTTTGCTCAACGGTTAAATATAATTTTGCAGAATTGTCATATCACAATTTTAATTGCATGACAACAATTTTAATTACATTAGCATACAATTGTTATATGATAATGGGTGCTAATGTAATTAAAATTGTTTACTGTGTTTTATAGTAAATACCTGAGAAAAGGAAACATGGATGGTAAAAGTGTAAAATCTCAAAAAGAAGAAATGAGGGCATGAAATTTGAAATTCCTAACAAATCAGATGAGCCAAATCGCGGGGTGTGTGTGTGTGTGTGTGTGTGTAGCAAATTATAACTAAGTTGCCAAAATGTCTAGAGCTAGAAGAGCAGATAGCATATATATAGCTCTGACACCTTTTGCAGCAGTTGTGGCCTTTTCTGGAATGAGAAACTTTAAGAATAGTTGTGCATTGCCTTATGTCATAATTACTGTGATTATTCATCAGAGGATAGGACAAGAAGTAATGGGTGGAAACTTGTTAAAAAGAGATCCAAGGAGAAATTTTCTGACAGTGGGAACAATTAATCAATGGAATACTTTCCCTCCTCGGGTTGTGGGTGCTTCATCAACAGAGATTTTCAAAACAAGACTGGACTACCACTTGGGATTATATAAGGCTCTTGCCTTGAGCAGGGGTTGGACTTGAAGGCTTCTGAGGTCCCTTCCAGCCCTATTTTTCTATGAAGCTATAATTGGAACTTGCTTTGAGCTGCATTTTAAAACTACAGCTGGTTTAAAATGCAGCTTTCCACATGGACAGTCAGAGAGAAATAAATAGACGCTTCTGAATGGAATCTGCCATTTGGTAAGAGGCAAACAAGAGGACATGTTATAGTATCTTTCATTTAGAAGATCATTATAAGGGATAAAGAAACAAATCTTTATTACATCCTCATCCTGGAACAGCTTTCCTCTGGAGACAAGGATGACCATATCCGTGTTGGTGCTCAGAAGGCAGTCAAGACCTGGCTCTTCTACAGGGCCTTTGGAAGCTAGTTGAAATAGATCTTGAACTGTAATTGGAGGCTAGAGGGTTGACAGTAGACTGCATATGAAATACGTTTTCTGTATGTTTTGAACTTATTTACTATGTGAATATTTTAGCTACTTTGAGTCTATGGACTAGAGTAGGATTTAAGCCCAAATAACAAATACATAATTTATTCGTGTGATATATTTATTTACAAGAAAAGAACTGTTGACAAGTGCTTGTTGGGATAGTTTACTTTGATCACTTATGTCAGCTGAGCATTGTGGCCTCTGTAGTCTTTATAGTGATATGGACTTGTTAAGCATCTGTGTGAAGTATTGCTAAAGAAAGTATTAACTGAATGCCAAGAGAGTAATTCCTTGATAACTCAGAAACTTATTCCCAAGAAAGGAAATCCAGAAAAAAATTACATCTCTTGCTGGTCTAATTCAGTTTTTTTCAAACTAGACAACTTTAGGATGTGTGGACTTCAACTCCCAGAATTCCTTAGTCAGTATGGGAATTGAAATCCACACATTTTAAAGGCACCACATTTGAAAAATACTGGTCTAATTGGAATACGAATATAAACTGAAAATCAATTGAGTTTATTCATGCTTATGTGTTACATATTTATAT